ATTTTTTTTTTTTTTTTTTTTTGGTACCAGGGATCGAACTGTGGACAACTTTTAAAAGCTCCTACTAATCACCCTGACACAGTAAACTATAAAGGGTTTATTTATATTTGCATCTCACTGGACACTACAAACGGTGGGGGACTAATAGGTATAGGTTCAGAACAGGCTAAGAAAGCTAGCAGCTAGTGCCCTCTAAAGCTTTTTCTAAGAAAGTCCAATTAGAAGAGTTCATTCTTTACAGGTACCGTAGCTAACAATTTAAAAGACCAAGAAGGTGACAGGGAATCCACAGGGACTTAGAGCACCCATGACAAAGGAGGTCTTCCCACCTTCTCTTGCTCCAAAACCCCTCACCTGGCCTCAGCTGCTTCTGGCCTGAGAGGAGCACTGGGCTGATCTGGCCTAACTTTGCAGCCCATTGCTTACTTTTTCCTTGGATTCTATCCATAGGTTTGAGTATTTCTCATCTGAAGAAATCACCTTTTAACTGAAGATGGGCATACTGAAATACAGAAATGACTTTTTGTATGCTTCTAATCCAACAAGCCCAACTCACTTAGAAGTTTTCAGTTATTATTAATCAAGTACAATATTGAGACCACATCAGGGGCCCAGTAAATTCCAGCTTCAAGGCCAGTGGTCTGTTTTTGCAGATACTTTTATTGGAATAGTCAGATTTATTTGCTTATAGATGGCCCAAGGCTGCTTTTGTGCTACATGAGCAGAGCTGAACAGCTATAACCGAGATGATCTGCAAAGCCTAAAATACTCAGTATAGCTCTTTACAGAAATTTTCCAACTTCTGGGTTACATCAAAGTCTCCCAACTTAAGGAAGATTTAAAAAAAGTAGATTCCCAAGGGGGGAAAAAAAAAAGTCACCCAAAGACACTATAAACATCTGCTTGTTATTACTTTTGGAACAAATACCTATGTCCCCAGTCCCACACTCAGGCCACACCAAATATAAAGGGTTACAAATATTCAGATTTTATTATAAATAAAATACTGGGGGTTTTTTTTAGACATAAAAAATGCCAAGTGTTGCGTTTTATTAAACACCCTGGAGAACAAGGCTGTAGAGGTTAAGGCAAACAGCTAAAGTGAAGCACATGTAAAAGGACCATAGTCGGAATCAAAACGAAAAATTCCAGGGAAAAATAACAGTGTCTATTCCCTGGGACACCCAGCATTCTGCAGCAGCCATTCTGTCAATTTTATTACATAAAATACAGGTAACTGGAACTGTACAATAAAATAATGGCTATATTTCAGGAACTCTAGTTAAGGCATCATTTTATAAAGTTTCCATTTTAAAAATAAAATTGTTTAAAAATATACCACAGAGATGGAGGAAAAAAAAAAAACCCCAAACAAAAAAGACCCACAAGGGTCTAAGACTTGCTGGAGAAACTCTTGACTCCAACATCCCTAGCAGTCTATTTTTAATACTTTTCCTGCAACTGGGACCAAAATGCATGTTAGGATACAGCCACTTAATATAAGGAACTAGCTTGGAAACACCAATGTAAAAAACTTGGCAAGAAAGAGCCACAACTCCTGTGAGAGCACAAGAGGCATGAGAGAAAAGAGTGAAATGTACGGGTAGGCCAGGTCAAAACTTAGCGGTGAACTGTGGTGAACCCTAAGGCTATCGAGAAGCACCCCTCTCCCTGTGTACCCAGGAGTAGCACTGTTCCTCAAGCCCTAAAGGAGCTAAGCCATGCCACACTCTTTCATGAAACTGGCTCAAAGAATTCCCAGAAAGGGCATTTCCAGTTTGTGCCTGGCCAGAGCCAATATGCTGTCAAAGAGGCCCTTGCGAACTCTCCTGGTCACACTGTACGGGTCACGCTGGCATTCCTGCTCTGGCACAGGCATCATAAGCAACAGTGGCTGGCAGCAGCTTAGGATCATCAGCACTGCAGCAGAAGAGGTCCTGAGTCGGGTGTGGAGGAAAGCAGACTGAAAACTCATGTTAGACAGTGGACGTGCTTCGAACACAAGGCAGAGAACGAAGTACGGTGGGACTGGTATGAGCCAGGGAATTCTACATGGAAGGGAAGGAGGTATAGAGGTATACTGTGCCAGTGAAGAGTGGAAATCAAGCAAAGAAGTGAACAGACAGTGCTATTCTAGAAATAGGACCAAGTATATTTACATAAATTCCTTACTCTATAATCATGATAAACAAAAAAAATTCACACAAAAATATAAATTTGAAATAATTAATAGCACCAGTGTGTCAGATAATAGTTTCTTTCCCCCGCTACACAAAGTACAAAGTTGCATAGTGTTAAAGGCTATATATGAATCTCAAAGGCAGGTTGGTAGGAGGAAGGGGTGTATGTGGCAGGGATCTGTCACACTGTGGTCTTACAAGACCACCACAGAGCTGAGGACTAAAGGTTGAGAAGCTCACTAGGAAACTCCACAAAAAGTTCTTCCTCTCTGTGTGGAGGGAAGGGGTAGAGGGGGTTGAATCACAAAGTGCAGGAACTAGATGGTGTTGGCAGCTGTGTGAAATACTGAGTGCAAGCATTTGCCACCAGGACTTGGCAAACAACAGTGTGTTTGAGGAATTCCAGAAGAGGGAAACATCAGAAGAAAACTGGAGCTAAGGGTCAAACGTCTCTTTCCAATAGAAGGGGAAAAAGCATATATGAGATCCTGACACTACAACTTGCATCTGTTTGATCCCTTTCTAAGGAAAGACTAGACATTTGTCTTTGTCCAGATCTTAGGGAACAACTGTTCTCTAACAGATATTTCAACACTAGTTCCAAGACTAACATACTTTAAAAAAAAAACTAAGAATTAGTCTGACGTGGAAAAACTTTAGTGGTTATCATATCCCTGTTGTTTCTTCTGTGTAACTTCAGAATATTAAAAGATGTCTACTGCTCTAATGGTGAGTGTAAGCTGCCCATCCAGATTTAAATTGTCAGCTGCCCAAAGATCTGAAAAAAGTTCATCTTCTTAGTCAATTACTAATATGAGAAAATCTTCAGTTGACTTCTGCCAGCTTCTCTTGGAGACTCATAAATAACTGCATTCTTACCCGTGGATGACTCAGTGTCCTATACTCAAAACAGCTAGCATGACTGATGGATAGCTACTGATGTTCTAATGACCAATACCTTTGGCACAGGATGTTTATTTCCTTTTGCTTAAAAGGAGAAGGGCAGAAAATGCAGATGCATTTTCTTAATCCATGAACTGGATATACTGGCCATCACAATTCTAGGGTTAGTAGCCAAACTTTTCCTTCAGAGAAACAAGGGTACTGCGACTGAGGAGGTTCTGCTGGTATCGATGCAAGAGGGGTGGCGGGCTGCTTGCTCTGCCCTGGCACTGGCGGGTTCACACGAAGTGTTTATGCCACCGCAGGATGCCATATCCTCAAGCAAATCAAAAGGGAAAGTGCGGGTAAGGTAGCAATGTGAGTGGAAGAGAGACTTTATTATAAATCAAACCCTTTGTTCCCGGTTCAGGGTGTATAACTTGCTTCTCTTTAAACTCTGTGACTTTTCCTGGTTTGAAAGGACAGTGATGGAGAGCAGCAGAGAAGTGGGGGTCTGAAAAATGTCATCTTTGTGTCAAGGCACTCTGTGGCCTCACAAGTGCCCCCCTGTCAGGGGATGCTGCCTTCCAGCCCTCCCAAGGCTAAGGCTTTTCGATGGACGGGGTATTGAAGCAGCCAGACGGTAAGGTCTTCTTGATGTCCTCCAGGTTGCGAATGTCCTTCATGATCTCCTCGATCTCTCGGTTATAGTCCATAATGGCAGCCTCCTGCTTCTTGGCTTCATACTCCAGGTCTGACACTTTCCTATCAAGATCACTGACCTTCATTTCATCTTTGGCTTTGTTCAGGGTTCCTTCAATCTCATTAAGCTTATTCAGGTCCACTGTGTCCAGCTGCCCTGTAGAGCCAGAAAGAATACAAAAGAGAAAGATCGATTCCGGGAGAATAGCATCATCCCACAAGAACCTCCACTAACCTTTCTATAAACTAAGTCAGCAGCTGCAAGACATGAAAATTGCCTTGTCTTGTATGTGGCTGTTGTGTACCAAGGTATAAACCATGTAAACAAGGAACACAATGTGGGAAGGTCAGAGGACAGCATTAATATTAGGCCAGATTTTTTTTTTTTCCTGGAAAAATGGTTTTAAAGAATGTTTTCTAAATGTACAGCTACAGTGTTCTAGGCCTCGAGATTCCCTGGTGGTTCTCAAGGTCATCTGGTGACATCCATTCCTTTCAGGTTTATATGCATAACCTGTATGTCATTTTAGTGCTATCTAAAGAACAACAACAAAAAATCTCTTAAGATAGAATTTCGAGCCCTCAGCTCTTAGACTACAGGAAAGATGGGTTGGCTTTAGGGATTATTTTCTAAGTTGAGGAGTTAGGCACTACTGGGAACCTTCTTATAAGACATGGCCATGGTTGAAATGCTGAAGTAACTTCAGCAAAGCTTCTGTTTAAACAAGTAGTAAAAAAAAAAAGGTGGGGAAGTTCTTTGGAAAGAAATTTCTCTACAATGAACAAAAGCAGACACAACTAACAGCACTTCATGCTTATTCCACTTGATTAAAATCTCATAAGACTATTTTACTTCAGTGATTTTCAGATGTTAATTTGCTAAACTCTGTATAACCTATAGGCAACAAAGAAGTCTAACCCAGGTCTGATTAATTATAAAGTCCTGCTCTTCTCACTTACTTTCATTTTAGATCCATCTGCTTATAATTTATTATTCTTGACATTTGAGACAGATAACTATCTCCTACCCAAGAAAAAACTCCTCCAAACAAAACACATCATTCTTTAGCAGCTGTGTCTAATCTGCAGCCTGCTTCCCCCGCTCTTTTTTGAGTAAAAAAGAATAGTCTTGGGCCACATATAAAATATATAAAACGGTTCATGTATGTAAATAACAAAATTCCTTTAAATATTTATAATATTTTTAAAAGAGTTCTAGAAAA